ATCTCATGAGATGAATAACCCTACTGGTGACTTGGAGTCAGATTACATTCTTCTGTGAAGTTATGAAGGCATTATATTTGGTAAGAATGGCAAGATTTTACCGATCCAAAGTCTTCAATAATTCATTACTTGGAAGATTTTTGAGATATGAGGCACGAAAGTGAATTGTATTTTAAATGACATGATTGTACGATCAGGGTGATTCGTAGAATTGTTCTAGCTGAAGCACTTGGTGAGAAGACTACAGTAAGATTAAATGTCAGGAACGCTTGCCAAGATTATCTTCTCGTGGATTGAAAATCAATTAAAAAAAAAGTTAAGAATGAGATCGAGAAGAAGAGTTTATACTTGTTATTTTCAAGTTAAGGCCTGTTTTGTAAGGTCGTACTCGAAATTTAAATGTTTGACAGAGGAAATTTTAAAATTACCAAGGCAGAGAAAGAAGGGAAAAAGAATGAGTACATGATTCGTGAATCAAATGGTAGTGGATACAGAAAACAAAAAGTATGTGCCTAATGCTGAGGATTTGAAGCAAGCAAATATGGACGAATTCACTTTCAACTTCGCAATATTCCAAAAGTAATAAGATTATCATACCATTCGACAGTTTTATTTGGTCAGCAATCAGGCAGAAAAAGATAAGACCTATTGGATGAGATAACTATTTCTGTTTCGCAGTGGAATGGAAAGATATTACTTTGGATTATGTGTACAAGTTCTCCTTGTACATAGGATGGTTATGATTGAATTTGAGCGATAGTTGTCATGTACCAATTTAGTACAGATTACTCCCAGTGCTGAGTAATAACTTTTTTCCGCAGACAGGACAACGTAACTTATTTGTTTTATGGACAAGAAGAATTGGTTTACGGAACTGCTGAGTTCTTAAGTATGTTGGTTGTGCTCCGAAGTAACGCCATAAGGACTATGAGATGTGTCATGTTGAGTCGGTTTTTGTTGACTTGTGAAATGAAATGCTTCTGAATAGAAAGAAAGATCCGATCAAGAAAGAGTTTTAGTTAGACCCTGTAGACCTATGGATGAGTCTCCTCGAAGTATTCAGGTGATTAAGTTAACCTGAAAAGTAAACCAAGGAATGCCAAAAGAGATTAACAGAGGGAATATGCCACCTAATCAAGGTGTATAAGACAGATGGTTTTATATTTTCGAAGTTTTACCTTGGAAAAGTGTGATTCGTCTGGATAGGAAGGCAAGTTAAATCCTAAGTGAACCGAATTTTATGTGATCATCGAAAGGTTTGGTGAAGTTGAATACGATTTTAAATGGCTTCCAGAGTTGTTCGTAAGTGCATGATGTGTTTCATGAATTATAATGTTGGAAATTTCACCATGAAAGAAAAGCAAAGATTTGGAAAAGGAAAGACAAGATAAAGTCTTAGACACCTCAGATCGATTTGATCACTAAGGAATGATGAAAGTGCATACAAGTGTGATGTCTTCAGAGTTGGCTAAGGATGCTTAAATTTTGGGTTCGATACGTTGTCACTAGGTGGCAAATTCGTCAGCATGAGATCCTGATGCAACTATTGAGAATTAATTGGATTCGACTTGATAAGGACGAAGGACGACTTTGGATTGGAAAAAGAGGTCCTGAGAAAATTAAGACAGAGTAAGTGGTAAAAGCTTTGTGAAGGAAATCATTCAGTGGAAAATTATGTGGGAGGAAAAGAATCGGATGAGAGATTTTTAACCGAAGCTATTGTTGGAGTATGGTTGATTTAGTTGGTTGCTGGAATTTCGGGGACGAAATTCTATAAGGAGGGAAGATTGTCACAGCCCGTCCCGGAATTTTAATTCCAAGGACGTGAAAAGACCAAAATGCCCTTAAGCGGGACTAAGGGACGAAAATTTAACAATTGGATTTACATTAGTATGTTTAAAGTTGTGTTTGGGATTTAAGTAGGGCGTCCTACCCTGATTCCCTCCCCATTTCCCGTATGTACTCTCTCTCTTCCTCAGACCTCACTTTCTCTCTCCCTCTCCTTCGAACTCACACGGACCACCACAAAACCACCCTAAATCTATACCAACGTCAAGTTTGAGACCACCATTGGAATCCTGAGGACTTCACGATCACGTTGGTATCCATTTCAGGTAAGTTTTGCTTAGGAAAACCCCTAGTTTCCAAGTTCCCGTGAAGAGCACTGTTCATGATCTTCGAATTGGCTTTGTTTTAGGTGAAACCAAGCTCACAGTGAGCTTAAGGAAGTCCCAAGGAAGCTCGGAGTGCTTCGTTGGAAGTTTTTGGACGTAAGAACACGGAGATCGACAAGTTTAAAGTTTGGCCGGAGCTTTCGAGGCTCTTTCCGGCGAATCCCCGGCGAGTTAGGAGTTGAGGTAGGTATCAATCTCTTCGTCTCGTCAAGTACTACAACTTTCCTTTTTGTTTCACTCAATTTCGTTGAGTATTGAAGAAGTTATACTCATTTGAAAAATACCCAGTTTCCGGCGACCTCCGAGGCTTTCGAGGCAGTTTTCCGGCCAAACCACGGCGAACTAGGTGTTGTACAAGGTACCATTCTCTTTGTCTCTTCAAGGGCTACAACTTTCGTTTTTGAATCACTTGATTTCGTTGAGAAATGACAAAGTTATGGCAATTTGAAAAACTGCCCAGAAAACGGCCGCCGGAAAAACCAGTCCGGCGACCCAAGGAAGAAGATGATGCGCGTGGGGGCGCGTGGGCCGTGCTTTCCTTGGCGCGTGGGGGCGCGTGCTACAGTAAAAAAATTAATCTAAAAATATGTCGACGTCCGTGACGTCGAGTAGATCACCGTGGTATATTCATATACCCAATTTGAGCAATATATGAGGAGTTATTAGCTAAGAATTAGGTTATGCGTTAAATAACGTTAATTCGGTTATTTCTCGTATAGGCGAGGCTTGTACGGACGTTGGGCATAACTAAGGGAGGCTCAGGAACCTACGACACGTCGATGTATTCTGTGAGTGGGCCGTTTTGTTTTCCGTATATATATATACTTGACGTTTCCCAGAAATTGAATTGAAATGAAAATATGTTTAAAATGAAATGCATATGAGTTATGTGGAAAAACGGGAAGTGAAATACCATGCATAGAATTGATATGAAAAGTATATAGAAATGTGAGTTGAAATGCCATGCATGAATTAATATATGATGCATATGTATGAATTGGTGCGGTGGACGCACAGGTAAGAATTGATTTATGATGCATATATATGAATTGGTGCGGTGGACGCACAGGTAAGAATTGATTTATGATGCATATGTATGAAATGGTGCGGTGGACGCACAGGTGAGTATTTATTTCTGTTATGATGATGTTGATGTATATTGAGCTCAAATCCTGCACCATAGTTTAGTGCTTATAGTATTCACCGCATCGCACGCTCGTCTTGGATCCAAGTAGATGCTAGTCGTACAGTCCACGCGGAGTGGGTACGACAGGCCAGTCGCGAGAGTGTTAGTGAGATTCCGACTGGTGGGTGACCTTAGATTATGTGCACAGATGATTGATGAGAAAGCACTAGAGCGTAACTTGTGTGCAGAAGGTCGAACAGGTCACGCGGAGTGACTCCGGCAGAGTGTGAGAGTGATAGATTTTGAGCTCTAGGTTCAACCGGGCTAATAGAGGGCCTCCGGTTGATTACTTTATTGCACCTGATATGATTTATGTTGATGCATTCATACCTTATTACTGTTGAGATGATGTGGCATGGCATAATTAATATGAGAAATGTTGAGATGATGTGGCATGGCATAATTATGATGAAAATGTTGAGTTAATGACTTGAAGTCTTGAGAATATATATGTATATTTATATTTTACATTTCTGGGAAAGTATACAGGTTTTACGGAGAGGGGTTACAACGTTTTGAGAAATGTTTGGATTTGGAAAAGAATTGTTTTACTGACCCACTCAATTTTGGTTTTGCGCCCCTCCAGGTTCAGGAATCACAAAGGTGTGGTGACTACGAGGAATTTGACGGTGTTCTGACAGATTGGACAAAATTAGGACTCACCTTCGGGTGTATCAACTTATAAATTGTATCTTAAAGCTTCCGTACTGTGTAAATGGTTACGTCACTCTCACGTGACGGCCAGCATGCCCTCCTTCGGGACGGGGTGTGTCACACACACACATGCACAGTACTACATATATGATCAAACATATTAAACTAATTAATCTACCTATATTTAAATTTATGATGAGCAAATAACATATATTTTGTAGGTAAATTAATATTGAATCAAATAACATTCTTTTATTTTGTAGGTAATTTATTTTTCATGTATTATTACATATATTTGGCACATTTTATTATTATAATATATATATATACACAAATAATAGGTAAATTAATCTTGAATAAAATAAAATTGCTTTATTTTGTAAGTAAATTAATTTTGAATCAAATAACATTTCTTCATTATGTAGGTATATTATTTTGTATGTATCATCATATATATTGGGCACATTTTATTATTATATGTACAAAAATAGGTAAACTAGTATTGAATAAAATAATAACATTTTTTATGTAGGTAAATTATTTTGCATGTACTTTGCATATATTGGGTTTGCTTTATTATGTAGGTAAACTATTTTGCATGAATTGTTTTTGTATATCAAGCTTTTTTTTTTGTTATATATATATGTGTGTGTGTGTGTGTGTGTGTGTGCGCGTGAAATAATTTACCTACATTTATATGTAAAATATAATTTTATTGACTTAACTAAGCATGTATTACTACATTTATTGGGCATGTTTTATTGTTATTATATATTAGGCAATGAATTTATTATTTTTTAATTTTTGTGAAATCATTAATTCGCCCTTACAATTTGTATGGAATTAATTGTGTAAATCAAACATTCAAATAGGGGTGTTTTGGGCATCGAAATTTTTTAAATGTGTAAAGTCAAATATAATTAATGAATTTGCTGATGTGGAATCTAGTCAATGGGTTTTATTTAAATAAAAAACTTATGTCGGATTTTACGTGGAAAAAATTAAATTTCAAGGGCTAAAGTCATATTTTCAGATATTTTAATTAGCTTATAATTAGTATCTCAATTCAATCATGCGTTTTAACATGACAAGAACTAACTTGGGATACAGCCACAATATGGAATTCCCGTTACATAAAAGTTCTTCTCCTACAACGGTCAAGCTAGCAGGAATTTTGGGAGCATTTTTTTCTTCTTTTTTACTTGACAAAAAAATTTGTTAGCTGAGAACCGAGTACCTGGTAGATGCATCCACCAAGTCCCATGCCCTAAAAAAATTGATGGAAACTCAATGCTGCCACCAAAGGCTTGATTGTGTGTTGACTTTGACAAGCACCAAGAGATATTCCAATGATCACTGAATGAACCAGAATGCCCAATTCCAGAACCTGCATTTTGTATTGCATGGCCAATCAATTAATAATTGCGAGTCCATATGTATGTAGTCCGACAACTGGACTAGCATGTTGGTCTGCTCGCCTAATCCTTTATTGCTTTTGTTATTTCGTTTGTATAAGATAAAAAAGATGTAGAGTTCGTATATATATAGGAAATTTAGACGCCAAGCTTTAAAGACAATTTATTTGGATTACCTGTGATATGATTCGATGACGGATCAGCTCCGGCGAATTTGATGCAGAACCATGAAAATGAACAGCATGATCATTTTCTTCATAACCATCAACTGGCTGAGGTTTCCCGAGCTCAGACCTCTTCTGATACCCAGTAGCAATAGCTTCCATTATCAATGTCCCAATGGCTGACACCATGGCAACAAAACCTGTAAAGGGAAACCTTCTCCATGGGTTTTCACTAAGGCAGGGGCTTGTCAAGCTGTCGTTAGCATCAGGAAGCAGATGAACAAACCCCGTTGCTAAAATCACCCCGGCCACAAAGGCTTTGATCAAGAGATACAAGTCTTTTTCCGGGTGGAAAAATGGTATGTTCTTCACCAAGAATGGAAGACAAACTCCTAGTGCACCAGAAACTAGGACTGAGGCTATTGCAATTAGTTTATATCTGATCAGCAATTTAGATTCGTTTCGGTGTTCGTCTTTCTTTTCGGATGTACATGCTGAAGATGTCAAGATTGGTAGAAGAAGAATTAGGAAGAGGATGGTGAAGAAACTGTAATTTAAATCAAGTCGTCTGAACTTGTGATCATTGTACAAAATGGAAAGACAAAAAGAGAGTGATAAAAAAGGTAGAACTGAAGAAACTATGGTGGGAATATTTCCATGCTCATCGCTGATACATAAAGTGATGAGTCACAAAGACAAAGACAATAATTGGTGAGCCTAACATATACAGACAGAGTAGAGAAAGAGGCCAAATGTGTTCTTGCTCCTTGTCAAGTAATGAGCAAGCAAGGCCATACATTAGTTTCAATCTATCAACCATATAGCCAAATTCCAAATTTTTGGCACTGATTACTAGAGTTATATACATTAGGGCAACGATTTCGCACTCCATTATCAATCTGCACTCTAAATTAAATATTCACAAAATCTTTTTTCTCATAGGAGTACATGAGAGTAAAAAAGCAGTGTGTTAAATTAGATGTCGCAATATATATTATTGAGAATAATTTTTTTCAAGTATAATTTAGAATTAATATTGATTAAAAGTTGTGCATAATCACATTGACTAAACAAAGTGTGTTCCCTTGTGCACTTAAGTACAAATCTTCCTCCCCATAAATTTTGAATAGAATATTAATGTAGAACATGATCATTTCTTGCACGTGGTCCAATATTGTAGTGGATATGATTTTGAGTTTCTATCTATATGTCCCAGATCCAAAGCCCCACCCCCTTTCTCGTCAAATTATTGTAATAATTTTGAATCCTCTCTTAATAATAATAATTAAAAAAAAACAGACAAAAGAAGGGAGTTTTAATAAAAAGCTTCTCCAAATTTTTTATTAACCAAAAATCATCAACTAACTTTATTTAATAAAAAAGACTTAAATTTTAATATAAAGGACTTAAATTTTAATAAAAAAAGACAAAAACTAAAAGAAAACAGCCCAACAATATAACCCCACGTGCAAAATAAAAATTTCTTTTCCAGCTATGCCCCGACTTCTGTTAGACCTGTTAGAATTATTGAGAATTAAACTTTCATTTATTTACGAATATGCCATTGCCTCATTAAAGCCTAAAAATCACATAAAAATTTAAAATAAAGTTAAACATTTTCTTAAGGATACGAATCAACACCCAATGTAATTAATTAGCTCCTAATGGTAAACCAGTTGAAACTAGCGGAAAGAGTATGCTTGTGAAAATTAACATGGATGGAGTCCATGTTACCTCTTCAAGTTTTCTGTCATCTAAAGATTATGCTGCCTTAGAAAATATCTTGAGAGTTAGAGCTCACGGCATCTTACAATTACAAAGACATAAACCTCTTGTATAATTATAGCAAATAGTAATTAAACATAATCATGTATGAATTATAACTTTTACCATATCTTTTTTTCTTTCTTCTACTATAGATATTGAGGGACAAGCTCCAGATTTCGAGAGTAAATGTGAAATGCTTTTAACCAACTGAGTTATAAGTTTTTGTTATTTTAGCCATATTTAAAAGGACGAACTTAGCAAAATCCGGGTTATATGTACACTAGCAGGATGTCTAGATGCTTATGTTGTCAAATTGTCAAATGATACCATTATTGACCGTATATATATATTTTTTTTATTAGAGTATAACATTCTAATTCTCCTTAAAATAAGGAGACACTATAATGAAACTGAACCAATAAGTATACACTATTTATGAAACCTGTTGATGCACAAAACCGGAGGTCTTGGAACAACGTAAATCCGACCGTGAATCTGCAAGAAATGTAAATAACACAAGATATATCGTGGTTCACCCCAAGGTTTAGGCTACGTCCACACTGATAATGTATTTATCTGAGGGAGAGAGAGAGCTCTAAGAGTGAGAGATTTGAGAGGGGGTGAGGAGCCTTAAGAATTGGTCTCCCCTAATTATGAGGGTGAAAGGTCCTTTTATAGAATAAGGACTCCTCACTTATTACATATTTGCCCATTCCTTTATCACATAATTACATTTAAGTCCCCCGAGTATTTGTACGAGATCTAAATACGATGCCCTAAATATGGTATAAACAGTAGTCCCCCAAGTCTTCAGTCAAGAGAGTCTTTTGGCTGAAGACTTGAAATTCAATCTATGTGTGGGCCAAAGTAACTAGATGTTGTCTTGAATTGATATTCGATATGAGGCGGTGCTCAATCTGAAATGATGCTCAACTAGAAGTAGCACATACTGCGAGGCTGCTCGGCTCATGGCTTATGTTGCCTTGGTTGGCTCGGCTTGTGGCGTTGAAGGTGATAGAGTCCCTTTTATAGAATAAGGGCTCGCTCCTCAATACATGAATGATGGGCTAGAGTTGATGTTCTCTAATGATGGTGAGGGAGTCCCTTTTATAGAATAAGGGCTCGCTCCTCAATATATAAGTGATGGGCTAGAGTTAATGCTCTCTAATGATGGTGAAGGAGTCCCTTTTATAGAATAAGGGCTCGCTCCTCAATACATGAATGATGGGCTAGAGTTGATGTTCTCTAATAATGGTGAGGGAGTCCCTTTTATAGAATAATAGCTTGCTTCTCAATACATAAGTGATGGGCTAGAGTCCCCCAAGTATTTTGTATTTTTCATGAGGCCCATTTGAGGCCCAATATATGGTACATAATGTAGTCCCCCAAGTCTTCGGTCAATAGAGTCTGTTGGCTGGAGACTTCAAATTGAATCCATGTATGGGCCGAAGTGGCGGTTGTTTGAATGTGGTATTTGTATACCCTACACTGAAGCTTTATAGGTGAAGCTTTGCAAGTGAAGCTTTGAAGCTAGAGCTCTGTAAAGGACGTTTTTGAAGCTAGAGCTCTGTAAATGAAGCTTTTGAAGCTGATTGACATGAGTGATGCTCATCAATGTTTATGTTGATTGACATGAGTGATGCTCATGGATGTTGTCATGAGTGATGCTCATGAATGTTAACATGAGTGATGCTCATGAATGTTGACATGAATGACGGTCATGAATGTTTATGTATGATTGCCATGAGTGATGCTCATGAATGTTTATGTATGAATGACATGAGTAATGCTCATGTATAATTTGGAGTACTGGGCGTACTTTTGATCACCTGGTTGGTGGCATGAAGGAGAGTACGGGTTGTACATTTCATCACCTGGTTGATGGCATGAATGGCTAGTCACTTATTACATATTTGCCCATTCCTTTATCACATAATTATATTTAAGTCCCCCGAGTATTTGTACGAGATCTAAATACGAGGCCCTAAATATGATATAAACAAAACCAAATCAAGAATGATACACTATTTCTAAAACTAAACCAATAGGTGGAAACTCTTTATGAAACTAGACCAAGAAAAAGACACAATTGATGAAACTAGACAAAGAAAGAGATACTATTTATGAAACTGTACCAATTGCTATACACTATTTATGAAACGGGACCAAGAACTAGACACTATATATGAAATTAGACCAAGAACTAAGTCACTATTATGAAAGTGGACCAAGAACTAACCCATTATTTATGAAACTGGACCAAGAAGTAGACACTATTTATGAAAATGGATCAAGAACTAGACACTATTTATGAAATTTGACTAATAAGGAGACACTATTTATGAATCTAGACCAATAAATAGACACTATTTATGAAATCAAATAAAAAATGTGACACTATTTCTAAAACAAAACCAATAGGTGGAAATTATTTATGAAACAAGACTAAGAAAGAAACACTATTTATGAAACTGAACCAAGAACTAAGCATTAATTATGAAACTGGATTAAGAACTAAACATTATTTATAAAATCGGACCAATAAGTAAACACTATTGATGAAACTGGATGAACAAATAGACACTATTTATGAAACCAAACAAAAAATTAGGCATTATTTCTAAAACTGAAGCAATAGATGAATATGCATTATTACAGAGGATCTAGGATGAGTGATTTATGGTTTTTTTGTGTCTTAAGATATGGTGCTAATATTCGAGAAATGTCATAAATTCTGGAATTTCTCTCATAAAACACCAAATAGATGTCGGAAATAGTACAGCTCCTTAAGTAATCAACTAACCTCTTTTGGCTTTTTGATCTGGAATTTCCCTCATAAAACACCCAATGTGCCAAGAATAAAGATACCATATTTTACCAACGGGGAGTTTTTTGCAAGCTTTCCAAATTAGTATAATCCAAAGTTGTCGAGACAAGCAAATTTATGATAAAAATATTATCAGATTTACAATCCTGGAACTGGGCAATCCCATGAGACAAAATAAAAATATAAGGCACATGTGACTCAAATCAGAAGTTAGAACACTGGATATGCATATGACCTTTGAGACTAAACAATGCTACAAAATATCCAAAGACATTGACAAGTCATCATAATCAAATTATTCACTTTTATCTTCATTTCAAACTTTTAAGCTCATAACAAAATGTGGCAAAAGCAACTATTAGCGTCATCACATCTTTTTTGACATCCTTAAACCTCGAATCGTTTCCCCGTTGATACAACTTTGGAAAACCCATTTTAAATCAGCCTTAAACCCAAAATGATATTCCAAAAACACAAAATTGAACTCAAATTCCATAAGAAAACAGTGAAACCCATTTTCACAAAATATAGGAAGAAAGATTCGACATGGGATTACAACTTTTTTATGAAGGCTATCTCAGTCGACTGCAATGCCAACGATCGAATCCCCGGCAACAACGACAAAGAGTTGAACTTGAAGAGGTTCTCGAGCTCGCGGTCGAACGACGTCGCTAGGTTCTTGAACTCGTTTGGCCGGTGCTTCATTGATAGAAGATCCGCGTCGGCCGAGTACTTCACTTCCCTCCACCCTTTCGACATGAAGGAGAAGGCATTGGAGGAGGCCGAAGCTTGGCCTTCCCTTCCATGGCGAATGAAGAGTTGGATCTTGATTTAGTTTGAAGAGAAAATTACCTAGTCAATCGGAGAGCTATAGAATCAAGTGAGATGGGATCTCATTGATTTAACGGAGAAAAAATCGGCGACTGGGGTGATGAAATGGGAAAATTGCATAGAGAAAAGGAATATGAGATCCGTACAAAATGTACAAAGCTTTTATCTCTTTTCGTATGAAGTGAAACGAAATAAATAAACACAGCAAGGTTTGCTATCAGGGTAAAATTGGAAACTCTGTGCTTGGGCAATTTTATTGGGCTGGTTTTATGTTGGGTTTGTCTTAACCATTAAATAAAATTAATGGTTAA